TCCCTACATTTTTAATTCTCTGCATGATTTCAACACATTTCACTAAGCTTTAAATGAGTTTTGAATAGAGTGTGGGTTTTAAACTGAATAAGCTTTCATGCATGCTCCCAAGTATTCCTGTAAATTCTTATTTAACTGACTAGCTGAGTTTTCTAGAAGATGGAAGGCCAAATGCAGCAGGAAAGATTAAATTATCAATACCTAAAATGGATGAGAAGTTCAGCTACAGAGCTAGGAACTCAAGACCCCTGCAAAAGGAGACAGGGTGGATGGGTAGTTTCCCCATCCTCTTTTGTGGGATGAAGACCTGAAAGTCTGATGTTTTCTCATTTAAGGGGGCGGGGGGAGGGAAGAGAGAAAGAGAAGACAAGGGAAAAAAAAAAAGAAGAAAAAGAAGAAAGAAAATAAGGCACAGGAAACAGAAAAAGAAGAGAGAAAGGAAAAGGAAACCCCAACTACACTAAAATCTTAAAATGACTGATAGAAGGACTGTTTGTTAGAAAGCATACGGGAAGGAAGAAGAATAGTTTTTAGTTTTTGCAGTATATTTTGGGTTTGTTGCTGTTTCTATGTCAGAAATAAGTGTGGACAATAAAACCTCTTTCAGATAATGTGTCTGGAGCTGTGTTTCGTATTTCAAAACTCCTCTGTGTGAATTTGGTCATCTGCTTAGGGTAATATAAGTGAACCCATTTTATTCACAAGCTACCAGGTTTGCACACAACACGTATCTGTATTTTTCGGGCACTCCGAGACCCTTTTTTCCAAGGCTGCCAGCATTCACATGTTTAGCAGCCCACTGAGACCTCAAATATCCAGCTGGGCTGACAGAGCAGTCTGTAATTGTTGCTGCTGCTAGCAACAAGAGGCCACTGTGGTACCTGCTGAGCCAAGCAGCCTCTCTGTTTCTTGTCTTATTCTTTCCTGTGATGGAGCTGAACTCAGAAAGTTCAGCCAGAAAAAGAAGGCAGCATCAGCATCAAGCCAAGAGAAGTGGCAGGAAAGGAAGGCAGAGGCTTCAGATTCACCCAGCAATACATTTATTCATCATCCACCCACGACAACACAGATGCTGAGGTGCTTGCAGCTTGTCCCAAGTCTCATCCCAAGTCTAGCTGGGAGCAGGTATGCAGACCGAAGTGAAAGCTTGCGGTTACACGTACATTTTCTATCATTCAGGCCATTAAATAATGACAGAGAGTGAAAGGAAATGTACACCACAAAGCAATAGCTGCTTGTGGGTCATGCCAGATTTACTGTACCTCTGTCTGGAGCTCCATGCCACAGATCTGGCACGCAACACATCACCAGCTCATCAGTACTAACCCAGGCTCTGACAGAATAAACTTGACACGTATCCAGCTAGAAAGGCCAAAAGAACCTGGGCAGTAACCAACTAAGATTTTTATTAAGAGAAAGAAGATAAAGGATAGGACTCAAGCACTCCGAACTATGGGCTCCATCAACCAGTTCATCTGTCTTAACAGCTGGGCAAGAACAACTACAGCCTTTCTACCACAAACTCGAATTTTTATTATTCAACCGTCCAGACACCATGTAGATGAGGCCCTTAGTGACAAGGTTCAGCGGTGGACCTGGCAGTGCTGGGGCAATGGTTGGACTTGATGATCTTAAAGGTCTTTTCCAACCTGGCTGATTCTGTGATTCTGTGACTATGAAAACCTTATTCTGAGAAAAGCGCCTTGATGGTCCACTTGGGGTTAACTCGTTTATGTCACCCAAATAAGAAACAGCTACAAACCAGATGGTTGAGTGCCCCCTCACAGCAGCAAGGTGCAGCATTAAGACTACATATGAGTTGCAGATCCCAGCTGACTTGGCACCTTAATTTCTGCAAAGAGCAGAAACTCCTTAAGCATACAAATTTCACATCCATTTTCACAGAAAATTTTCAGGCTTCTCAAGTTGCTGTATTCTGTTTTCTTGATGTTTACTGAGGGCTTTCAATATTTTCTTGGGTTTCCAATTAAAGGTTATTTCACACTTCTGGTGAAATGGTGCACAAATCATTTTGAGGCTTCATTCTGGCACACTTTCCAAAGAAACACTCTTAAGAAAACATTGCCATAAAAGAAAAAAATACCCTTACAGCTTAGAAGAATACCTGATTATATAAATTATTCCATTTTATTTCTGTCCAAGGCCACAATAAAAGCAGTTCACATGGGTCACGGCCTTTGGAAGAGCTATCTTTGTAAGAAACAATATAGTGGTTGCATGCTTGTAAGTTCAGGGAGTAAGTCCATATTCTGGAAAGAACATCAGTCAGGCCCAACATGGTTATGAATACAGAATGTCATGCCTTCAGGGCTGGAGGAAGTTACAATATCTTTACAAGCTTCCTCTCTCTATAACCACTGATTAGCATGTTTTTTTGTTGGCAGAGATCTATCTGCATGTCAGAGAGCTAGACGTATTTTGAGCAGGTCAACATGAAAATCCCATTACTTCTCTCTTTTTTAGAGGAGTTAGGCTGCAGTCCTTATTGACTCCCATTAGTTCTGCTCTTTCTTTTCAGTGCTCAGCCAGCATTCACGATTATTCTTCCAGCTTTGTAGGAAAAAATAAGAAGAGATGTTCGAGAAATGCAGGGTGATTCCTGAACGATGTCTGTGTTGCTGCTACCTCACCACTGGTGGAAAAGGTTTTTCAATGTCTGGCTTCATACAATGACAGTTCAGGAAAAGACCAAAGTTCCTTGACATCTTAAAGACTAAGAAAAGGCAAAAATACTCTGCTGATTAAAGAAAGCTTACTGAACCTAGCCCAGCCCATCTGGCTTATGCCAGCATTGAAGGGGAAGGCTAATTGCCTATACCATCTGTCTCTAAGAGGGCTAATTGCTGACATCGGATATCAGCAGGGGTTCATGCTTTTCTTCAACAACCTATTTGGTACTCTCAGAAGCCAGAGAAAGAAAGAAGGACTCCCATTTCTGAAAGGTATGGGATAAGACTGATTTTGGATAAGTAACACCTAGTTCTCTGATGCTCTGAGGTATTGAGGACCATTGCCTTGGGCTCCTGACACAGACTGGGGCTTCAGTAAGTCTGAATTTATCAATACATGCCACATGGGAAGTATCATGAGGTACTGAAGAATGTTTCCTACCTGTGTACATATATGTAGCATAAACATATCTTCTTATATCCTGTAATATTCCCAAACATCTTTCCAGATAGTCATAACACTTAATCATTATTTTCAGCTGAAGTATTTGTCCTTGCACAAACAAGATCTTCCCTGTAGATCTGAAGTTTAGATGTCTCTCAAAATTGTTCTGTTGCAAGTAAGAATTCAAACCCTTACCTTATGCTAACATATAAAACTTTGCCTGACCA